CACACCGCCTTGCAACCGCTTCAGGATCGCATTGCAACCTACAATGGAAGGCCAGGTTGGGCATGGAACCTGTTGGCTGCAATCTCCTCCAAAAGGAACTGCCGAAGAGCTGGTAAGTCAGCATGTTTCCAGTCCAAGGGCTGCTCCTCAGCAAAGCATGGGATGATAAGAGGCCAAATACAAGACGGCTACGGCTATAGGTATGGGTCACCTAAACTACAACCCTTTAAGTAGACCACCCAAACTCATCAAAAATTGGTGTCATTGCTCAAGGTTAGTGCAAGTGATGCCCTTATCGTTAAGTCCTGAAAATTAAATGTATAATCTCCAAATATATACCCTCATAGGACAGTGGTGGACTATCGTTAGTGGAATTTCGGTTTGTAATGTGCATATAGAACCGGACCCGTTTTTAATCAGGTAGATAAACTGTTTGGCATAGGTGAAGTTTAAACTCATCTTTCCAACAGTTGGGTATAGTAATGCGATTATACCTTACTCAGTGGGCCATCTCCCAAAAATAAATTTCAAGCTTAGGCATTGGTTCAGTAAAATACTTTAGTATATAATATCTCGAGTTTTTCTGGTATACCAATGGTACGAGCACAAGCATCAATAATCCTGTAGTTTGTTGCAAGATTGAATTTCATTCTCAAGTGGCCCTTAAAGAAGCCCCCCCTGCAAGTTCCTCCAGAAGATGGGCCAGCAGTTCTAATCATTCTAAAATCCCACAATGGTGTTGACAACAGCAAGGGAAGGCATTGCCAACTGATAATCATGTGGTTTTAAAGATCAGAAGAACATTGTATGTGTATATATATATATGTGTGTGTGTTTTGTATAGATATATTTCTATATATATATACATACACACCACATATTATATACATATAAGTATTGTATATATGATGTTGAATATATATATATATGTAAATATTGTTATTTCAATATATACATACAAATATAGATATATTATTTTCATGAGATGTAAATATTTATATATACCGTATGTCTTGTGTAAATATAACATTATAGTAAATATCAATTCAAACAACAACAAATAAATAGATTATAAGATATATATATATATATAAATGTGTGTGTGTGTTTAAATGCATATATCTCTTTGTCTTACTACCGGTGTACGGAGCTTTGGCCGACAAGATGAGGAATCAGACCTCAACCTTTCGAATTGTCATGTGCTGTCGGACGGATGTGGCAGCATGGCAGTGTCACTTGCTGACAATGTGCGTGCCGCGTGGTTGCGCAGTTCATGAACGGCATGGCGACCGAAAACCCTTACAACAAGACTAGGGTCATGATGGACGAAGGCCACAATGTGGCCCAGGTAGCAGTGGCTATGAACAACCACATCCGCTGCGTGAGCAACGGCACGGGTAGTTTTTTTTTAACATTACTGGCAATCAGTTTTGATCGAATTTCCCCAAGAATGATCATGCTCGGACCCTGCCAATTAAAAGACAGGGAAAGAAAATGACGTTTGAGTAAACTGCAGTATTGGGAACTTTAACCTGCCTAATGTCAACACACCCCAAAAAATACCACTAACAAGGTATCATTACATCCAAGCATCAAAGCCCTTAGGGCCTTCTAGTTTCCACAGAGATCGTTGTCGCTGTGCAGCAAGGTGCGATGCTGAAACCTCACAGTGGAGCTGCCGGAAGTGTTTGCACCAGGTGTGGTATCCAAGTGGTGTGGCATGTACAGGTGACAGTATTGGGAAAAACAAAATGGGTGCTGATAGTGAACAACAAGCAACTGCGCCCTTTTTAAATAGTTGAGCGACGCGCTTTCCAAACTCTGGTGTGTAAGCTCCACTTTCTTTCAGCCTTTTTCCTCCAGTAACCCTCACCCGTCCATCCGGTAATCTCTTCTTGGTATACATGCCGGCCGATGACTCCCTCAATGACTTTTGTTCTGCTTGTGAAAGCCGGCATTTAAGTTCTTCAAGCAATGGCCTTATGGGAAAAGATCAAACAGAGTTTCTCTTCAACTGATGGCATCGGGAAAACCTAGACATGAATTAAACATCCCTAAAATGAATGTTATGATGAAAACTTCGAAATAATAAGATAAGCCACCATGATCCAAACAATGCTGTAGGTTTACTACAGAAGTGGTTAAATGCCCCCATCCACGTTCGCAAGTACCACGTAGGTGCCATGTTGGTCATGACGTGGGCCACGTAGGGGCACTCGGGAAGACAGCTTGAAGATGGCTGTTCTACCTCAGTGAGAATGAATTTCAGCGGAAAACAGCTGTGTCAAACCACAGAATATACGCGGTGACTGTAGCTAGATACATGTGCATAGTCCCCCTGTAGATGAACAACTAGCCCCTGTATGAAGAAGTCCCAGCAACATCTACCCCATTTGCATGATAACCAATATTTGAGGATGTTATACAATGATATTGTCAGACAGGGTTTGTGGGATGGAGCAGAAATATATTACGAAAAATAGGATATCATTTTTGTTGTTCCTAGAAAATCATTTTCATGCATGTTCGTTTTGGTGGTTGCCCCCGGGCCCCTGCCAGGGAGACTCGAACTTTACCCACGAGGCCACTAGCAACGGTATGGGGTTGTGGTGTGATATTTTTTATTAGATGCCAACTTAGCTTCAATATATGAACTCCCAGCTGCAACACATTTCCTAAAATTAGGGCTTGGATAAAGCAGTTGATGGTCGTGGTTTTGAAAGGATACAAGGACGGGAAAGTGTTTGGGGTAAGCATTATTGTTAAATCGATATCAGTTGTTGGTGTTTCCCCGATTTTTTATGATGACCAAAAACTATATACCCAGACCCCAATGCCAATTCATACTAGTGACAGACCACCAAACACCATTAACAATGGCCACCATGGCCAATAGAGCAAAGCGGGCTGCTAAACAATTAGCAACCCGCACCCCTTCCAGCCCTTCATCTCCGAAAATGCCATGTTCGCGGCTGCGTCGCTTCGTCGTAGATGCACTTATCCAAACCCAACTGGCCGTAGTGGTTGGGATTTCACCAAGGACACAAGGGCACCCCAACGATGTAGTCAACTACACTTACTTTACCCCATATGTAAAAAGGAACTTGCGCTGCTAACTTGGAGGGACCAAAATGAAACAATGAATCACCACCATGTGGGTTAAATCCCTTGTTCAAGATATATATTATATAATGTATTTCTCAAAATGAAGGATGCTCCAAAATATTCAAAAATAATCCCTTTTAGGTATTTTCGAGCATCCCCCATTGTGGAAATACCAATGCATAAATCATGGTCCATTGGTTTGGGGGTGTGAAGCAGTCAAGCTGCCAAAACCACTTTTCCATGAAGTAGACATAGTCCCCACCATATAGGCTTGTGGGTCGGGTTGGATTTCTTTAAATGATGACTAACACCTTCAGTGTATTTTTCAACATAGCTAAACTCAAACCCGGTTGCCTAGCACAAGGGTTGCCGCCCCATATCATTCCATTGGGCTGCACTCGAAGCAACCGGAGCAAGGCTAGACAGAACCCACGGGAAGACGTCAAGTCATGCAAGACCTTGTCTTTCCTGATATCCATTGCACGACACTCGATGCCATTCAATCCTCAGCTGGTGCAAGTTTACAAGAACCATTTCATAGGAAGGTTTAACTATCTCCCAGGGGTTGGTAACAACACTTGTCATCCCATGCGGTGTGAAATATCATCCTTTGTGAATTAAACAGCAGAAACATGCTGTTGTTTGGGATGAAAGGTGTATCCAAGGAATGTTTGTGTAGCCAAGTGTCTGCATTGTCGGGTCAGCTCCTGCTCCCCGCTAAACAACTCCAGCATTTGCAAGTCCTCATGGGCGAAGAAATGGGGCCATTTTGACCATTTTGAACCCACAGCATTATTTACTTTGAAATGGTAAGAAAGGGGATCATTTCATTTTGGGTTTAGGACTGGCCTCCGCAAAACGGCACACACACACCTAAAATAACATAAGGACAATTAAGTAGAGGGCAATCATTTTTCACATTTCAAGACAGACCCCATCTGTAAACCAATGTGCTAGGGTATCACTAGTTTTGAATAATAAATATGTATATATATATATATATATCGTTATTTATGGGACCATCTCCATCCGACTTGATGCAACCCAAGGGACTTGCATAGGACCATCACCATGCTCAGCGGCCCAAACTTGACAGCAATAATCCACCAAGTGAATCCTAAGCCGAGCCGGATGTCAAGGTAAAGTTACTCGATGATGTACATGGTTGGGATCAAATTGTTTCCAGAAGGTGAGTTGATCAGACTTGGTTTCGGTATAGCGTACATACATATAATATACATAATATAGGTAAGATAATATATATATATATGTATATGGATGGCTTGACGACCCACTGTAATGGTGAAGTATAAACAACCATCAGACATAACATAAGATGCATCGAAGAATCAGCAGGACTGGTGCTCCCCAAAATAGCAGTGCACATGCTTTGCGCTTGGAGAGGCCCAATGCCATGATGGCGAATGGATTCAGGACAGGCTGTGGGATCCGATTGGATGGGTCTCAGGTGTCACTAGGAGTATCTAAATCAGCAGAATGAACGCATTGCAGAGATCATCCACAAGAGAAAACTGACATAAGACATAAGTAAAATATTGAGAGAGGTGGCCACAACTACAATGGTATGCTAATTTGGCTCCACAACACATTTTGGTCGTGAATATGTATGTTCATTAAGCTGTCGAACCTTGACCAATACTACTCGCAGTTTTTCACAGGCTTCCGGGGCATGGGAGTCGGCCACGTCTTGTGTGTAGACACACAGCCTATGCCACATTCATCTAGCAAAACTAGAAGACACCCTGGTCACACCACACCGGTTAAGATATGTGAACCATTGTGGTATATTAATATTTTATACAATCAAATAATAATATTGTTGTGCACAAACCATGTGGAGGACCCCTAGGGTGTGACAGCATTCTCTGGCAAATTCACCAACCTGCCAGTTTCTTGGCTAAGGTAAAGTTTTCAGCCCAGCCCTTCTTTCGAATTGACAACGTCGACCCTCCTTTCTTGTTCACCCGGATGGACTCATCAGCTTCCTTGTTGGTCACAGCTGAGACGTAGATCTGATCCAACGTCCACCTGGGAAAAACACTCGGCTAGAAACTTAACCTGGTTTGATTGGGATATTATTGTTTTTGAGGAGTATGTATATATATATATACATGTTCGTAGTTCAGTAGCACATACTCAACAGGATAGGTGATGGGTCATTGTTTACAGGGAAAGTGTCAATTGAATCACTTGGGAAACCTATATTGTCACAAAAAAAAACGCTTTTGATGCTACCTGGTGGGTTCAAGTATATAAAATAGCCAAGTAACAGAATGCCTACAGACCCGCATTTCTTATCATCTGGAGGGGGCAATGTGAAGGACTTCTTGCTGGTGGGGTCAAAGTCAGCAGGCACAGGAATAGCTGCCGCTCGAAGCAAGGGAGCCTCATTTAACACAAAGGCGTTATAAAGCAAAATGCCGCTGGTGTTGAATCTTTTTTTGTTCGACACCCATCGAGAATAATAAAAATGACTTGGTATATATATATATATGAAAAACATCGATGCTAAAGATGTCCGGCAACCTTCTCAGACCACATCTTTTGCAATTCACTCTGAGTAAGATAGTTGCGCCCCTTTTTAGGTGCCACTTCAATGTTGGGGTCCCCACCAGCAGGCTCACCAGAGTCGGAACCTCCCCCTTCTGGTTCAGGGATTGGATCATTCCCATTGCTCTCACCAGCAGGTTCAGAAGGTTTGGGATCAGCCACGGAATTGTCAACAGCACGGCCTCTCCCACGACCCTTTCCACGCCCCCGACCGGGTTTCGAGAACTTGTTCTTCACCTTCCCATCACTCTGTGCATTCTTCAGGAGCTGCTCTGCATTCTGAATCTTCTTTGCCTTCTCGGCCACCAGCTGTGCCTGGTAAGCATCAGGGGGGTTCTCCATGAGCTCAGTCATTTCAAGGTCGGTCTTGTCGGGCATCTCCGGTGGAATAGCTTCCATGCAATGCATCTCCTGTAAAGGGATGTGGAACCTTAAGCACATATATAAGCATTTTTTGGGTTGGTATACGTATAGATCTGAAACAAGAGGTATCAGATATTTTTGTCATAAATGGAAAACAATTTTTATCTTACAATAATTACTTTACTTCGAGTGATCCCCACCATGACATATTACGGTGAAGATCACATAGATACCAGCCACTCCCTTTGCATTCTATCTGGCATATCTTCTGGCATTCTACCTGGCATATTTTCTGGCATATGTTCTGGCATATCTTCTGGCATTCTATCTGGTATATCTTTTGGCATCTCTTCTGACATTCTATCTCGCATTCTATCTGGCAAATCTTCTGGCGTTCTATCCGGCAAACATTCTGGCACTTTATCTGGCATATCTTCTGGCATTCTATCTGGCCGTTGAGGTCCAGCAGTGCCCACTGAGCTCTGACGGTCCCAGGTTGAGGTCCAGCGGTGCCCACGATCGGAAGCCGGCAGTTGAGGTCCAGCAGTGCCCACTGCGCGCGGACGTTGGCGAAGAGTTGGCAAGGCGGAAGTGAACATGGGAGTGGATGCAGAGGTGGTGGAGGAGAAGCTGGAGGACGAGGAGGAGAGGGAGGAGGAAGAGGAGGAGGAGGAGAACAACTGTGATAAAATCTAACAACCCTCACCTGGCAGGTGGGGAAATAATCAATAAAATGCGTATCCCTTAAGATTACCAATTGGGTCCTTGGCAGCTTGACGACGGTAACCATCCACCTTGGGATCCACAGCCACCTCTGGGGCAGCATCGTCACACACAAGGTCATCATTCATGAGCTTTTCCAAGTCATCAACAAGCTGTTGCGTTTCCATCTCATCAGGGTTTGGGGCCTGAGGAGCCTTGAATGCCAAGGCTGGATTTCCACCCTTCAAAAAAAGAATGCTAACTTTAAACATATCTTCCAATTAAGGAATACTACTGGTGGGCTACAAATTGTAAAATCATGTGCAATAAAAATGGGATATGTTCACAACCCCAGGCAAGGGACCTTCACTTTGTAGCGACGCATGGGAGCCGCTTTGGCCTTCACTACAGAAGGGGGTGTAGCACTGCACGAAGACGGAGTCGATACATCCTGCTCATCACCATCCTACAGGGTGGATAAATATACATATATATATATACATAATAGTTGTTTAAACAACTTAAATTTGGGTCCCCCACTAAGTCCTGCAAAGACGCATTCGCCAGAGCTGCTTCGATGCCATCATGTGGAGATTCTCCTGCAACAGGGGTTGTAAAAAGTAGACACCTCAAAAATAGACCTGCTGTATTGTGGAACTGACACTCCTTAAAACAACTGAATTGATGCCCTGTGTGGCCGGGACTACAGGATTGGATGACCAAGTTCGTGGTGCTCCCTGGGTACTAGGGTCTGGAAATGGGCCCAAATTTGAGCGACCATGCTTGGCGCGCTGATGAAGACACCGGGACATCGATTCATGGCAAACACCTATCACCCTCGGCTCGGGGGACAAAGAATTTGGCACCACCCCCACCTGACGCGGAAATGATGACTTCCACCGATTCCTTCAGCATCTTGATCTTCAAAGACTTCGATGAGCTGCTACGGCGACACAACCGGAGGGCATGAACGAAGAGGCATCTGATAGGGGGAGCCTGCTTCACAGCCCAATCCTAGTAGGGAAATCCAAATTGATTCAAATTTAAATATATAATAATTATAATATATGTTGGTATCAAACACATATAGTGTAAGAGTTCGAGTGTCATTTGTTTTCAGTCCCTGTCCTTCAAGGTTCGGCCATACCCCTTGACTTTCTGGAAGATGCCGTAGCGTTTTGCCAAAACGATCAGACAGTCCTACGAGGCAAAGCTATGGGACAATATATATATATATATAAAAAGGTGTGTGGGCATAGGGTTTGGAGGTTCTAGCCTAACACAATATCCCTTGGCTGGGTATCAAGCCATAAAAACTACATATCTCATATAGAAATATATGCTGTTAGGAATCAACACCCTGTCCCAACACAGTTGTGCCAGTGTCCATCCGTTCAACATCTTGGATCAACATATAGGCCTTGAGCCTATCTTGTGCCAACAGAAAAAACAGTGCGTGCACAGCAACAGCTGACTTGCAACAGAGACATCAACAGGCTGCCTTGGAAATTTTACATATATATATACACATATATATATAGCTGTATGTGGTTAATTTGAAGATGTTATGCTTGGAATATAGCTTGAACTACCTGCAAGTTCTTTTGTGTATGTGTACAACCCTTCTTGTTGAGTATATCATTTATGATCAGTCCTGATGAGCCTTCATCGTTGGCACCATGCAGCTACCAGTGCTGGCGAAGTATTCGAGTGCAAATTGCCAATGAACTTCCACCTCAGGTGGCCATACCCAAGTGACCTTGGGGAAAACAACAAGTAATCTTATGTCATATTATGTTTGGTTTACAAACAGCCAGTCATCTTTCCTGTATGGTCTTAGGGTAGTTAGTGGGTGTAATATATATATATATATATATTAAAAAAATCTTGTGGAGATGGTATATGACAAAACAACACAATGAATTCAAGTTAAAATGGCCAAACCACCATCTCAGCGGATGCAGGCCCATCTTTGGGAACCACCAAAACAGTGTTGTCGGCATCGTTCCGAATGCGGTCAGCATGCTCCATGAAATAGCTATTGAGAAAGTCCTTCAGGGTTCCCAATGGTGAGATGTCCTATGTCAGGTTTAAGAACACCCCTAAAAAATAACCCTTATGTTTTCAAATGTGTTTGTCCTCCAAAATGAGGCGTTGTGCTGATGGTGGTCCAGACATGATCCCCGCAGCTGAACCAAGGTATATAGCACAACGGCCCCGGCACAATCGCGCAAGGGGGCTGACCAAAAAAAAATTGTCTGCGGGTCATGGGCAGGACATAAACCCATGAACTCTTGTTCAAAAAAATGGTGCACCCAACATAAAAAATAACACCTGGTAATATCATATTCTAATATCTATAGGGCGAGTATTCCAATAATGGTTAATTAAGGGAATTAAATGGGTTCCCTTATCGTTCCAGGCATGCAGTGGCATGTTCCAAACAAATATGCATAACACCAAGCACGCAGGATGCACCAAGAATCGTTTCATCCCCAAAACTAAAGTCAATCCCAATAATTTAACTAATCGTGACCCCCATCATACTGTTTAAAAACATAAGATTGTCGACCGCACTGCAAGGCTGTGGGGGGTAGGCGAACCTCCCCACTTCTTCAAAGGTCCAACTGGCTTCTGAGAAGCGCCACATGGCACACTGGGTTCCTCCCTTCGAGCCCGCTTCTGGGCATCCCTGTGTAAGGCTATTGCACGTTTCATCCTGGTGTGTCGTATTTGCCAATATATTAGATATTTGGATGACATCATGGTGAATTGAGAGCATTTGGGGGTTGAGACACACCAGGATGATCCATCAACAAAGTCAACCCATAGTGTACCCTTATCACAAAGCATATGCACGAATGAATTCATAATGAGATAGTTTTGCGATGTTTGGTTGAACATCACAATATCATGCGCAATGCGCTGTCAGAGCAAGAATGGCAGAAAACCTGCCCTTTCCGACAAACTTTCCGACAAAACATAGCCCATTCCGACAAACGACCTTGAAATTAAGCTTTTACGGAGATGACCTTGTATTTTAGGTACATTGCCGTTTTTTACTTATTTGAGGCCACAGAGCCTCAGGGTTTGACAAAAATCGACCTTATTTCTTGACGGGCAACGATGGCAACCAAAAACGGCGGCGGCGGGATACAGAACCAAAAACAAGAACCCCACACAAAGATGTGGGGAAAAAATGTTGAGCCAAATTTTGCCCAGGCAGCTGCCCACCTGCCCGTCAAGAAATAAGGTCGATTTTTGCCAAAATAAGCCTTATTTTTAACAAAAATAAGCCTTATTTTTTGACGGGCAACGATGGCAACCAAAAACGCGCACGCTTGTCCTTTCAACCTTATTTTTGACAAAAATAGGCCTTATTTTTTGACGGGCAACGATGGCAACCAAAAACTAGTAGGGTGTGTCTTGAAAGGACAAGAGTGCGCGTTTTTGGTTGCCATCGTTGCCCGTCAAAAAATAAGGCCTATTTTTGTTAAAAATAAGGCTTATTTTGGCAAAAATCGACCTTATTTCTTGACGGGCAGGTGGGTAGCTGCCTGGGCAAAATTTGGCTCAACATTTTTTCCCCACATCTTTGTGTGGGGTTCTTGTTTTTGGTTCTGTATCCCGCCGCCGCCTCCTCCTCCGCCTCCCGCCCCTCCCGCCCACAACTTGTCCACACACAACTTGTCCTCACCAAATCGCTCACACACAACTTGTCCACACACAACTTGTCATCACACAACTTGCTCACACACAACATGTCCTCACCAAATCGCTCACACACAACTTGTCCACACTTGTCCTCTTGTCCACACAACTTGTCTTCACCAAATCGCTCCCACACAACTTGTCCACACACACACTTGTCTCACACACAACTTGCTCACACACTTGTCCTCACCAAATCGCTCACACACAACTTGGCATCACACAACTTGTCATCACACAACTTGCTCACACACACACAACTTGTTCTCACCAAATCGCTCGCACACAACTTGCCATCACACAACTTGCTCACACACAACTTGTCTTCACACAACTTGCTCACACACAACTTGTCTTCACCAAATCGCTCACACACAGCTTGTCCTCACACAACTTGTCCACACACAACTTGTCCACACACAACTTGTCATCACACAACTTGCTCACACACAACATGTCCTCACCAAATCGCTCACACACAACTTGTCCTCCCACAACTTGTCCACACACAACTTCTACGTGCATTCTGCGTGGCAGGCGTGGCACTTATGGCACTGGGCTGGCTCTGGTGGCGCGCTTGGTTCCCAGTTGACGGCGTGGACGCCGCCGCTGTTTGCGTGGCAGGCGTGGTACTTGGAGACATGTACGTGCATTCTGCGTGGCAGATGAGGCGCTTGGAGACATGTACGTGCATTCTGCATGGCAGGCGTGGCACTTATGGCACTGGGCTGGCTCTGGTGGCGCGCTTGGTTCCCAGTTGACGCCGTGGACGCCGCCGCTGTTTGCGTGGCAGGCGTGGTACTTGGTGACATGTGCGTGCATTCTGCGTGGCAGGTGCGGCACTTGGTGACATGGACCTCCACTTTGCGTGGCAGGCGTGGCACTTATGGCACTGGGCTGGCTCTGGTGGCGCGCTTGGTTCCCAGTTGACGCCGTGGACGCCGCCGCTGTTTGCGTGGCAGGCGTGGCCCTTGGCGACATGGACCGTCACTTTGCGTGGCAGGCGTGGCACTTGGCGACCATGGACCTCCACTTTGCGTGGCAGGCGTGGCACTTGGTGACATCGACTTCCACTTTGCGTGCCAGGCAAGGCGCTTGGTGACATCCACCTTCGTTTCACGTGGCAGGCGTGGCACTTGGAGACATCTACCTTCGTTTTGCGTGGCAGGTGTGGCGCTTGGTGACATCCACCTCCTTTCACGAACCATCTTTCACACACCACTTTGTCACCCACCATCTTTGACAAACCATCTTTCACACACCACTTTGTCACCCACCATCTTTGACACACCACTTTGTCACACACCATCTTTCACACACCATCTTTGACACACTATCTTTCACACACCATCTTTGTCACACACCATCTTTCACACACCACCTTTCACATACCATCTTTCACGCCCACCTTTGTCACACACCATCTTTCACACACCACCTTTCACACAGCACTTTGTCACCCACCATCTTTGACACACCATCTTTCACACCATCTTTCACACCACTTTGTCACACACTTTCTTTCACCACACCATCCTTCACACGCCATCTCTCACACACCATCTTTGACACGCCATCTTTCACACCACTTTGTCACACACTTTCTTTCACCACACCATCCTGCACACGCCATCTCTCACACACCATCTTTGACACACCATGTTTCACCACACCATCCTTCACACACCACTTTGTCACACACCATCTTTCACCACACCACCTTTCACACAGCAATTTGTCACCAACCATCTTTCACCACACCATCTTTCACACACCACTTCACTTTGTCACCCACCATCGTTCGCCACAACATCTTTCACACACAACTTTGTCACACGCTCTCTTTCACACAACTTTCACACACACACACCATCTTCCACACACAACTTTGTAGCACACACACAATTTTGTTTTACTTCTCGGTCCTCCACCACCTCCTTTGTCTTTCCTTTCTTCCCCGTCCCCGCTACAACATTTGGTGCTCATTATTGGAAGAATTTGCCATGTGGGGTTATCTGGTCGTTTAATTCATAGGTTCGGTGGGTGTCGCCTCCGCAGAAGGTGCAATAGGGCTGGCATGGTTTTGGTCAACATCTTTCTCTGTAGTTGATGTAGCACCAAATTTTGCCAGCGCTTTTGCCATCAACTTACCACCCCATTTGCCGCCAAAAAGTCTCTCCCAACCTTTTCTGTCAACATGTGCCATGTACACTCAACGCCTTTTTGTGACTGAAGGTGTTTGCAACCTTTTCTGCCCAAAAAAAATGCCATCAAATTTTGACACCTCTGCTGCCGCCAAAATGTGATTGCTAAACTTCCGGCTCAATTTTTGCCATGCAAAGTTGCCACCCCTTTTGCCACCAAAATACGGTTGCCACCATTTTTGCCATCACATTCTGCCATCAAACTTGCCACCAACGCTTCATTGCCACTGAAACTGCCACCCACATTGCCATATCTAACTGCCACCGCCACCGAACTTGCCACCAAACTTGCCACCTTAAACTGCCACGAACCTCTGGCATAAGATAGAACCATATGAAAGCATACCTTTTAAATCTTAGATAAGATATAATTGTTAGGCCCACTCTGTCGCGTTGACCTTGAATGATAGGCTTCGGGAAACGACTACTATAGTCCGCAAATGGGGGGAGTTAAGCTGCAGAGATAGGGAAGTCATCCATCACTGTTGATCCAAAAACGCACCGTCACGCACAACCATTTCCATTGGATCCGGATGCTGAACATTTCGATTGTGCAGCCACTAGGCCACTAGCTCTCTTGCTTTGGGGGTTTTCCAAGGCCGTACCCCTGTGATACAAAATATGAGTCTGAGCAGTTTCAAAACGCCAGTTGATTATATAGCTGGCTGATGGTCCTAGTCAAACATACTACTCTAAATATTGGGATTATCATGATCCAAGAACTGGAAATCACCATTGAGGAAGGATTATTTCGGCAGTTTTTTCGATACAATCATACAAGACAATAGAAGAGTCATTATGTTGGGAAATGTTTTGATAGGTTTCCAGAGTAAACCCAAAAAATAGTTCATAATGTACCCCATATATTCGACCTGTTCTTGCCTCCCAATATTCTTCATGTACAATTAACCGATTTTCCAATAGGTTTTAGTACCGGGGGCAAGTATGGCTGTGCAAAAAATGGGGATACGCCCTGATGAAGCTCCGAAAATAAGCAACAAAAAATAGGGAACATGATGTTCTCAATTTTCTTATCCAATGGATTGGTGTTTTCCCATGGGTTGTCCCATGGAGCCCTGAATTTTCAGGCTGTGCAGGCGGAGCTGCAAGAAGTCCGGGCTGACCCAGAGCTGGAAACTGGGCCGTTGAAGTTTAAACCAACGGGTCTGTTTGCAAATGGAGTATTTCCCAAAAATGTTCTTTATCAACAAAACAAAGTAGTGGGTCAACATGCCGGTTGTCTGGATTGGCAACGGTTTTTTTCAATGACAAAAAACAGGAAATGAACAGCAATGACAAAAAATAGCTAAAAATGAATAGAAATGAGAATACATGAAAGAAATGAAGCACATGAAAAAAAATGACACATGATTATAAAAAAGAGAAAAGCACATGTTTTTTGATTTTCCTGTTTTTTTTTTAAACTCTTGGGTTTCGCGACCGGGATAACACCTGCATTTGGTTTTACCTGAGAAAATGATTCTTGGGATCAAACATGTTTTTGCGTCTTTGTTTTTTGATCGGTTTTTTCCCTGCTTTCCCTTTCTCGACAAAAACATGTAAACAAATGAAAATAAGCGAGATTTGTTTCTCAAGGGAAAAAACACATCGCAAACGTGCTGCAAGGTGTTTCTGGTGCGATGTGCTGTGGAAAAATCTTAGATTGTTGGCGCGTGGCCAGCGTTGTCAAAACAAAGTCAGTTTGAATAGACTGAAGTAAAATCACATGAGTTCTTCTATCTATGTTTATGTATATATGTATGTGTTTCTTTTCATTTAGTCTTGTTTATATGTTTGCTTCTG